ATTTCAGTGTCAGAAGAGGTTTATGCTGACTCCTGATTTTCCCATCTAAAACAGCCTCTCCCAACTTTGAGCACTTTACAGGAGTTTGAGCTATAACTCCCAGAGTTTCCACCAGCATGACCATCAACCATGCTGGCCATAAATTTGGGAATTATAATTCCAACATATGTGGAGGGCACCAGCTTGGAGAATACTGTCATAAAGTGACAATTTGGTTTTGTGGGATAGTATATGCATGTAATTTAAGATATGCAACAGTATTTTTTAATTAGAAAGTTGTACATGATACATAGCTTCTTTCATAGATTACTTATTTGGGATCACTTTGAAGTCAGTCAGCTCATTTCTGAGTAGATGGGTATGGTGTTCAGTAGTCATGTGGTTCAGATTATATTGAACTAATGCTAAAAACATTCCTTTGCCTGTTTTATTTAAAAAATGCATATGCCGCCATTCCCTTAACTATAATAGCACTTTACTTCATAACCCATCACTCCAAAGCAGGATACTTTTTGCTGTCATTTTCATCAACACTTTATTATTATGGAAAATGGGCTGGAACGTTGTTTGTCCAGAAAAAGGGGAGTTTTTATTTCGTTTCGATCAATACTTCATTACTATCCCAGATAAAATTACATTTTGTGTAGATATGGGGAACCTACATTTTCCAAACTGTAAAGCAAAAACTATTAATTTTAATTGAATATAAATTTCTACATAAAATTTTACTTGGTTTTGCTGTGACATTGTTAGAATATGTTCAGCATTCCCCCAACAAAATTGATGCCCAATTTGGGAGTCCTTTTGGACTCACAGTTCCTGCTCAAAGAGCAGATAGCAGCCATGGCTAGAAGGCCTTTGCACAAGCTGTGCCCATTTCTGGATTGGAAGCTCATACTCACATGCTTATCCAACGAATAAACCTATTTGAGTACTGCTTAAATCATTCTTGATTTAGACAGATACATTGGTTTTGGCAAATAGTGGCACTGCCAGAGTCCTGGCATTATTTTTAATTTCTTCGTAAATTGCTAAGTGCAAAAAGCTTGCAGAGAAATTCTTGGATAAGAAAATAGGAGAGCTAAGATCCTACTTTTAAGTAATGCAGTTATGATGCTACTCTCTCACCACTTCTTCTTTTTCACCACAACCCAAATCATGTTAGTGTGTTCCTGCCAAGCTTTTTTGTTCTCTTTGTCAGCAGATGCTGGTTAATATTACTTGAGTTGGTAGCACCTAGAGGAAAAAAAAGTAGATGATGGCTGATCATTCTCATTGCTACATTGCAGAGAATACCGCAAGCCAAGTAGACTGGAAATTATAACAAGGGAAGCCAAACTCTACAGTGCATATAACCATTTTAGATAATCCTCATAATTAACAATTGTATTATGCCAAGAAGAATTTTAGAGTTAATCTAAAATTGTTCATGTAGTAGCAGTCGGCTGACAACATTTGACTTTGTTCTAATATTACTCTTGGCTTTATGCCCAATTTAAATCTAAAATAAGCGTGTATAGCTTCTTTATAGAATCATAGGATTTCAGATCCAGCTTTCCCATGGGAGATAAAAAGTAAGCAAGTGCAATATGGTCATTGTAAGTTTAGAATTTTAGAGTTAATCTAAAATTGTTCATGTAGTAGCAGTCGGCTGACAACATTTGACTTTGTTCTAATATTACTCTTGGCTTTATGCCCAATTTAAATCTAAAATAAGCGTGTATAGCTTCTTTATAGAATCATAGGATTTCAGATCCAGCTTTCCCATGGGAGATAAAAAGTAAGCAAGTGCAATATGGTCATTGTAAGTTATTGCAAGACAAGTGGTAGATAAATGTTAAAAATACATCTATTATTACTGGATAATTATTGGATTATTGATAGATCACTTTTTTTCATATGCCCTTTAATCAAATCCAGGTACAGTATGGAAGCTTCTATTGATTTCAGACTATAGCTCAAAAGAGCATGATACTTTTCACCACCTCATCTTCTTTTCCATTTTCCATTCCATTTTCCATTTCCATGCCATTTCCATGGCATGCATGGAAAATTCAACTTTATACTTGGTAAAAAATGAGAAGTCTGGTAGCACCTTTTCCAACTAACAAATTTTATTAAAAGGCATAAGCTTTCATGAGATGCATAGAGTGGCTATGATGTAGGATTTAAGTTAGGGTGAGGTTGGGAGAAGGAAGTGAAAACAGGTTGGTTATGTAACTCTTACACTGGGGTGAGAATTAAGAAGGCATTGTTCTAAGCAACAAGAAACAACAGGGCAATACTGCTAACATAGAAACCAAATCCTGCAACAAACCTAGATGTCTCCTTTACCCACACATCTACACCAGCAGCACCATCACAAGGGCCCACATGCTCTTTCTCTAATGCGATGCATGCCATCATCTGCCAGCAATGTCCCTCTAGATTCTACATAGGACAAATGGAACAAGCTTTGCACAAAAGAATTAATGGACACAAATTTGACATCAGAACTCAAAACAAGGACAAAGTAATATCAGAGTATTTCAGCCTCTCAGGTCACTCAATGATATACCTCAAAGTGACTGTTTTGAAAAAATGCAACTTTAACAGCACCATTGAGAGTTCACTAAACTCACATGCCTCAGTCTTAGAAGGTCTCAGCAAACATGATTACAATTGTTAATTGATAAGTTACTTACAATGTAACTTGCATCTCCATGACCAACTTGGCTTCCCTTCCTTCCCTGCCCCCTCACCTTACCCCAATTTAAATCCTACGTCAGTCTAGCCACTCTGTATGTGATGAAGTGCTCACAAAAGCATTTGTTAATTGGAACAGATGCTACCAGACTGCTGTTTTTTTGCTACCACAGACTAACATGGCTCTCCTACTATACTTTATACCTAGTAGAGGTACTTAAAGCTTCTAAGAAATTTCACTTTGAGGTTCTGTGCAATGCTAAATAAATATTCTCGCAAGTTTACCCAGAGTTCTTTACAAATCTGTTTTGCAGCTACAACTGCATTTCATCCGCCACTTACAAAGTAAAGTTCTTTTTCCTTTCACCCACTCTCACAGCATTCAAGCTATTGCTCACAACTTCCTCTGCAGGCCTCCTGAAGTCTTTTATTTTCACATAGTTAATGAGGAGGTTCTTTGAGCCTTTAACGTGCATCTGCAGAGTATGAATATGATATATTTAGTAACAGTTACATCTGCAAGATGAGCCAGTGAGTTGATGACTTTATAGTTGATCTGCTTTTGCAGTTTTCTAAGAATGGAGTTGGATAGGGAATGTGTTCTCAGACTTGTACTTTTTAAACAAGATACTGACTTTTGGATTCTTAAACTAGGGTGAATACTTCCTTTGAGCGATCTGTACTCTCTTCACTTTTGATGTGATGTGTCGGTCACATTGCCTGTAAGTTTAACTTGTTACCAAATGTGGGATGAACAGAGTCCACAAAGAACAGATTGTGTACTGATATTTTAAGAGACTGTACATTTTGCATAGTTCACCCTCCATCCCTGCACTGATGTACTGCTCTTGTGCATGGGGAGCTCTGAGGGAAATGATGTTTTTTTGTTACTTAAGACAGGCACAGTGGAGTGTGAGTGGGACTTCTTGCCAAAAGCTCTCCGTTTGGTAACATTCTGAAGGCTGTTCTCTACAGGCACAGAACTTGCATTCTGGAATGCACAAATAACCATTCAAAGAATCACATTTACAGATAGGTAGCCTATCTTTCTCTGCCAGTCCATATTTTCTAGTACAAAAGACTCTGCATAAATCATTAGGATTGTGCAGCTACCTTAAAGCAGCTTATGTAGCATCCCAGGAAAATATGTGGTTGATCAGATAAGGTACCAGCAAGCATGATGTGCACACCCATGCTCAGTCCAAATAATTTCTTTCCCAAATCCAGATTGCTGCACACCTGCAGTAATCACCACTTGCGTAGCACAAGGAAAATTATCACTTGCGTAGCACAAGGAAAATTATAAAGTGTCTACCTCAAAAGGCACAATTGAAACATAGTTAAGTTCTAGCACCTGCTTTTTGTGGTTCTGTTCATGTGGGAAGTAATTTTCCTGATGCAGGAAACATGCAGAATATTATGGTACTCTTGTTAACAGGAAGAGCTACATAGAAGATTACATTGGGAATGAATCCAAGTTTAGGCTACTGGACTGAAGGAATAGGATTTTCTTATAGCTCCTGCTGAAGAGCAGCGACTTCAGCTCTCCTCTCCATATACTCTTCAGAGGGATGTGGAATTTGTTAATTTGATGGGACAGAAGGTGATGTGACTTGATAATCAATACCTTCTATGAATGGAATTCTGCACATTCAAGATCCTTTTGTCTGACTTTCAGGACTCTTTTTTGCTTCCCACACCACAGCCTATTTGTCCCATTCAACACCATTCATATACTTTCTGCATAATTTTTTTTTTTTAAGAGTTGGAGATGAGCTTCTATGAGGACAAAGGATATAGGGAGTTCTGCACTTGCCTAGATCTGGATTCAAGCCATGTTTCATTTACAATGCAAATCTTGTGTTTTATTAGAAATGCAGCAGTTTATTACAAAAGAAACTGGTTACATTCTTCCTTTGGAATCCCATCAGAGATCTGAAATTCTGTATTCCTGTACAAAGAAGTACAGAAGCTACTTCTTTGACTGTGTCAAATAATTGGGAAAGAAGGAGGCTGAAATCCCCCAGAAAGAATAACAGGGAGACTACTTCTGAACTAAGAGTGTAAGAATATTGTGAAACAGAAAGCAGTGCTGGCTTTTGGAGGCAGTGCTAGAGATAACCATATAATAGAAAAACAAGTAGAATGTGTGACACGATTGGCTTTATTGACAGCATTTGAACTTGGTTAAATAGTCATAGATCAGTTGACAAGATGTGACTGATTAATTGGCCATCCAAATTTAAACTAAAATGTCTGTAAAGCTTGTTTTAGTTTAGATTATAATTTTAAAATTGTGTATCTTTTTCTCTGCAGCCTAAAATGACTTCTGCATAAATGCCACAGAATAAATGGCGTCCAAAGTAACAGATGCTATAGTCTGGTACCAGAAGAAGGTAAGATTTTTCAGTAAAACTTAAATGATTATCTTAAAACAAATTATAGCTTGGTTTAACATTGCTTACTTACTATTTCTCCTGTGTATTTGTATTTTGCCACTCTGTACTCCCTACAGTTCACATTTCCACCACAACATGGCCGGTATTTTTTGTTGTAGCTTCTGAGGATGGGGGCTCTGGGGATGGAACAGAAGAAGGAGACAGGCATGGAGATAATTTCTCTCTCTGCTTTTCTTGGTTTAAATCTTTTTTTATTCTAATCCTCCTTGGCAATTCCTGTTTTATTTCTTTTTGGTTACTTATTTAGTTACTGGACTTTAATGCTCACAGCTTGCTTGTTGTATGTATGTCTAAATATTGCTTTTATGCCAGCATTTCCCACAAGCTCTAGGCAGCTTATAATATAAACATATAAAATACCCCCCAAAATCCCACCTACATATAAAAGCCCTACTCAAAGGACCGCCTGTTTCCCATAGTATTTATCTGGCAGGGCTGGTGCACTCCAGTTTCCTTCAATTAAACAATGCCATCTATCGAGAGCCTGGAAGCATGCCTGCTCTGTAGCAGTGCCTGCCCTCTGGAATGCGGTTCTGCCTGAGATCTAGACAGCCCCCACCCTGCTGAGGTTTTGAAGGGCCTTGAAGACCTGCCCTTTGGCAAGGGTGTGTGAAACCCCCCTTTGGATTAAACTATGTGGGTTTTTTTTCTTTTCATTCCCATCTAGTTTTTTGCCACCTTCATTTTTGTCTACCACTGTATTTTTAACTTCTTTTATCTGTAACTGCCAAGAGTTGTTGGGAGTCAGGTGGCATATTAATTTAAATAATAATAAACATAATAAAAAATAAGCACCAGCAAATACAAGTAGCATGCCCTGGCAACTCCACAGTCTAGGTAAAGGGCATCCTCCTCTGCAAGATGGAACAGGAGGCTTTCAAACATTTCTTGAAGCCTAGGAAGGATGAGGCTGATAGGAGCAGCCACCAAAAACACCCCCTTCTAAAGCCTCATCAGGTAATAATCTTGTAGGTAGGGAACCTAGAGGGAGTTGACCTTATTTGATCTGGTTCAACAACAGATGAATTCAAGAGAAGGCAGGTTCTCAGAGGTCTGGAGCCATGTTGTTCTGTTTCAGGTTGCAGGCACACACACATGCAGACACAGTTGCTAGGGAGTTGAGGTTTTTACTACAGCTAAGCAGATAACAGCAGACAAGATCATAAATGAAGGACTTTGCAAAGAGTGCTTGCCTAAATAATTCTGTTTAAAGTCCAAGTAGCAAGTGAGTGGTCCCAGGAGTCACAGAGAGCTGAGTTGGGTAGTCAGATGGTCCAAGAGTCAGGGATTCAAGAGCAAGATACAGGAACAAAAATCAAGAGCTGGAACTCCAAACATTTGATTCCAACAAAAGCTGAAGCCAAAACAGCTACATAAATTTATCTGCAGACAGCTGGCTGCAGTTACTCAGGCCTTGCCCTTTGCCTAGCATGGAGCCTCATTGAGTGGCATTGCTCTGCTTCCAGCTGCATGCATCAAGACCTGGGGCTTGAAGGTCGTGCCTCACCATCCAGCTGATTGGGAGATGCCTGTGGTTGATCAGCCTCAGATGAATCATGGCTCGATGATTCCTGAGACTGACATTCCTGAGGTTGACAATCCACAGGCTCAGCTGAAGCAACTTCATTAGAGTCAGAGTCAGATTCTAAATCGTGGCTCATGACACATGTAGGCATTAAAGATCACAACCAATACCTTGAATCACATCCAGAAGCCAACCAGTTACCAGTACAGCTCCCAAATTAGTAGGGTCACCCAAGTATATAGAGAAATGCCCTTTACTGCCAGGCCATTGTATTTTGCACCAGCTGTAGTTTCCAGATGTTCTTTAAGGGCAGTCTGATGTAGAGCATGTTACAGTAGTACAGACAGTAGATGACTAGGACATGTGTGACTGAGCAGGCCATTCCAATCCAGAACAGATGACAATTGGCACACAAGACGTAACTGTGAAAGCCCTCTTAGCTATAGTTGCCACCTGTTCTTCTTCAAGAGCTGTGAGTCTAAGAGAACTCCCAAATTGCAAACTCCTGAGTGAATCAGAGTCAAAGATGGAATTTCTTAGAATTATTTGGGCCACAAATTAAAAGCTAATCTGTCTTGCAGGGATTCAGTCAAAGCCTGTTCCTCCCCATATAGACCCTGACAATATTGAGACACTAGTTTCAGCACTTCCACCCCATCACCCAAGCACAAAATGTATAACTGGGTGTCATCAATTTATTGATGATATTAAACCTTGTGGGGGCAGATGACTTCTCCTAGTGGCTTCATTTGAATGTTAAATGATGAGTGCTCTAATTAAATCCCAAGATGAAGGTGATCTGTTAAAATATAGAGAGATTGTTATCTAAAAAGGTAAGAATAGGATTCAAGTTACTACAAACCACAAGAAGTTTCTAAAGAAAAAATATGCATCTTTATGAAGACAATGTGAGATTTTACTAAACACTGACAGTTTACATCCAGATTTGCAGCTGCTGAAATAAAAGTCATAAGAAAATGCATCATTGAGACTTGGCAACACGGAGAAAACAAACACCAAAAGCTAGTACATTTCTTGGCTAGAACATTTTACCTATTTCTTCAGAAATAGTAGCTACTTGCAGCTTCAGTTTTCCTAGACTTCCTGACATCTTGGAAATTCTATATTTTAATCAGAGGTTATAGAGAATTGTGTTAACACTCTGCTTCCCAACTTTGGTCCCTTAGCTTCTACCCAAGTAACTTCTGCCTCTAGTTTCAAAGGACCGCTCTTTTTCAGAGACAGAAGCTATAGCATCTCAATCTGTACACATGAGAAAGAGATCTGGATGTGCATTCCATGCCTGGCCAGCAACCTCCTGTATTGTAAATGGAAAGCAGTGCTACATTCACAACAGGTCAAGGCCTCCGGGGTCCATTATGTTATGAATTTTGCAAAGGTTTGCTTGTTTTTGGGTGGACAAGAGCCACAGATTATGCCCAACTTGTTTAGAAAATATATCCAATAGATTGTTTGGATGATAATTGAAGAGCTCCTGTCTATTGCCTTTTTTATAAATTGGACAAAAAAAAATTTGGTTTCCAATTGGTAGGGACAGCACACGAGTTCTGAAAAAAAGCTTGCAAAAAGGGAAGATTATCAATTAATATTCTGTTTCAAAACCTTAGGAGGCATCATGTCCTTCTCAGGGGTTTTCCCTAGAGTCAGGTCCTCAAATATACCCATATGAATTGTCATAACTGGTACTGTAAAAGACTGTAAATCTGAAACTGAGGGCCAGATTCAAGAGCAAGAATCTTTGCTTATGAAATCACTGACCCAGGAAAGTCTGGCAAAGAAACCATAAGTCTTCTGCATCTTTTAAATGAAGCTGTTTATATCTTGTCCAGTTGAAATCCCCAACTAATACAATATCAACATCCAAATGCTTAGCATTCACTAGTAAAGTTTGCAAATTTGAAACAAGGTTGAAATTTCAGCCTGCGAGGAGACATACAACAATGCAGAAAATGGACACCAGGTATTTGCTAGCAGTCTGGATTATTTGTATATATTCACTATTATGCTAATCACTTTGCTGTATATCTCCATCTTACTCCACCAAAATTAGGGTTGATAGCTGTCCACTTGCTGTTCCATTCCCTGCTTAATGGCTGATGGAAACAAAAGTAAGAAACAAATGAAGTAAAGAAACATTCTGGCATCATGTCTCCTTTAAAAAGAAAATAATTTTTCAAGATTTGCTCAAAACATTTGAACCCTATTTATACTATAACTCAGCTCTATTCTAGGAAATAGCCTTCATGCAACAAGGATCTTTTGACAGCTATTTAGCAGACATCTTAAGATCTTCTATGTGAGTTTTTCTCCATCTGAGTACATGATTGGGCGCTTGTCTTCAAGGATCAGGTGTAGTGTGGCTTTCAGTTCCTTGAAATCAGCTGCTAAGGAGTTAATAGTATCTTGTTCTGTTGGTTGAACTATTCCATGACTGAAGAGAAGTTAGTAAAATAAACTAAGCTTCTGTGTGAAAGGGATTCAGTTATACTAAGATCTGGGTTTTTTTTAAAAAAATCAGTTTATAGTCTTGTTCCATGAAGCTTTTGTAATGTCTGAAGGCAGTAGGTGCAGTAGATGTGTGTGGCAATGTTTTCATCTATAGAAAATAACTTACTGCTGAGCTCACCCACATGATCTTAGTTTTTTAAATGTTACTGGAGAAATATGCAAGGGCAGACCATAGTTGCCTCGGGCACAGTTGTTAATATATGAATACAGTCATTGTGTCCTCTTTCTTTATTCAGTCTACTTGCTATAGTTTATTCTTGCTTTTGAATTTTTAGAAAGCAAATTCAAAAATGCCTTTTTAAAGGACAAACGTTTTGTCTTCTTGCATAATTGCTTAAGGTTGAACTTAATATTCAGCTTAGTAAACATCACTCAAATACAAATACAAATTATTTACTAGATTTCATTTACTGCAGCTTAGATGCAAAATGATGCTGCACGTATCAAAAGAAATCTCCTGAAATCTGATTGCTCAGTTCTAATCCACCCCGGTATACCCAAATAATGTTGTACCAGAGGATTCTTTATTCTTAGAAGTTGCTTTTTTAAGATTATTGGAAAAAGGAAGAGAAGAAGAATCTTGCAGAAATTCCCATTTCGGGAGCAGGGTTCCACATGCTCTTCTCTAGGAGCAACTAATGACTTTATGAGACTACAATAATTTTCTTTAGCTAAAGCCTTTTTAGCGAATAAAACATTTTTATGTCACAAGGAACTTTTAAATGGCAACCGGTATGGTTAATTACTCTTCAATGCATCATACAGTGCCTTAAATTTTAATATAATTGCTTTCTCATTTACAAAGGATGATTTAAAAATATCAGTTAGCTTTCAACACTATGACATAGGCTTACACTGATTTCTGCATAAAAATAATTGAGTT